GGCGTCGCCTGGCCCACGGCTCGGGCCTTCACGGCGACGACCCCGCGGGCGGCGCGGCCTGGACCTGCTTCCCGCTGGGCGAGCGCGCCTTGGTGCGCGTGCGCGGGCCAGACTCCGCGCCCTTCCTTTTGGGGCTGCTGACCAATGAGCTACCGCTTCCGGGTCCTGCGGACGGCACGGCCCCACCCCCAGCGAGGGCGGGCTACGCCCACTTCCTTAACGTCCAGGGCCGCACGCTCTATGACGTCCTTCTCTACCGGTGAGCGCGGGCAGAGGCGCGGGGGCGGGGCGACCCACGGAGGGGCCGACCGCTCGTGGTGCCTGCAGGTCTAGGAGCCGCCCAGAGCCGGGCACCTAGGCGTGGACTCCCGGAGGCCGGGGAAGGACGTCCAGGGCGGGGCACTTGGGGAAGGACAGGGGGCGTGGGCGTCCAGGGGCGGATACCTGAGGGTGGGAGGGGCACCTGGGGGGGAGCACACCTGAGGGTGGGAGGGGCATCGGGGGGAGGGTACCTGAGGGTGGGAGGGGCACCGGGGGTGGAAGGACACCTGAGGTGGGGGGGCATCTGGGGGAAGGACACCTGAGGTGGGAGGGGCACCAAGGGGAAGGACACCTGAGGTGGGAGGGGCATCGGGGGGAGGATACCTGAGGGTGGGAGGGGCACTCGGGGGGAGGGACACGGCGGGGGGAGCACTCCTGAGGGTGGGAGTGGCATCGGGGGGAGCACACCTGAGGTGGGAGTGGCATCAGGGGGAGGATACCTGAGGGTGGGAGGGGTACCCGGGGGCAGGGACACGGGGGGGGGGAAGCACACGTGAGGGTGGGAGGGGCACCAAGGGGAAGGACACCTGAGGTGGGAGTGGCATCGGGGGGAGGATACCTGAGGGTGGGAGGGGCATCTGTGTGAGGCCATCAGAACGGGCAGCCGGGGCCAGGCCAGCGACTAGCACCTGGTCTCCGAGGTGGGCATCTTCCAAGTGGCCCCTGCGGCTCAGCCCTGCTTGGGAAAGCCGTGGTGTGGGGTCTGCAGTGCGGCAGACGGGTCGCTCCAGAGCTGGCGGCCTCTTCCAAGGGGGGAGGTGAGGAGCCAGGTGCGTTTGTCCCAGCCAGCCCTCCTCCTACCTGCGTCTGTCTCACGGGTCTGCGCTGGGGAGAGGGCCACTTCCCTGGGAGCCCAGCGCCCCCATGCCAGGTGCTCTCTGGAATGTCTCGTGTCAGTGGCCTTGTTCTTCCCCAGGGCGCCCTGTTCTGAGTTTCCAGAGGCAGCACCTTGTGTTGGGTGGCTCCCGTGTTTTGCTTTTAAAGTGGAGAGCGGTTTCTGGCTCCGCAGAATCGAGGAGAAGGAACGGGAGCTCCTATAGGCACGTAGCCGCCCTCAGGGCAGCATCCCCCCCAGCTGATGGACCCGCACTGACGCTGTATCAGCCGGAGCCCCTCCTCTCCGAGGGGGTTCACTCTCCATGGTGTGCGTGCTGTGGGCTCGGACGGGTGTGGAAGGACGCGTGTCCGTGCCCACAGGGTCACATGGAGTGATGGTTTCATGGCCCTGGAGCTCCGCTGGGCCCCCCGAGTCCCCCAGCGCCCACCGAGGGGCTCTGTCTCGTCTCCACAGCCCCGCCTTCTCCAGAACGCCGCCGTCCACTTGGAATCACACGGCGAGTAGCCTGCTCGGATGGGCTCCCTTCGCCCAGTAGTACAGCTTCCGCCGCGTCTTCTCGTGGTGGGAGCTCGCTTCTGTCCAGCGCTGACCCCTGTTCGTCGTCTGGGGGGACCACAGTCTATGTAGGCTCTCTCCTTCTGAAGGACAGCTTGGGGGCTTCCGACTTGTGGGTAGACAGGATTTGGTGCAGACGTGGCTTCGGCTCCTGTGTAGTGTAAGAGAGGGTTTTGTTCTGTAAGAAGCCGCCGGGCTGTGTCCAGCGCGGCTGTCCTGTCCTGTGGTCCCACCAGCCGGGCGTGGCTTCTTTGCCATGTGCGTATTCTCTTGGGGGAGATGTCTGTTACATCTCTACATCTACAGATGTCTCTAGCCCGTTTTAAGCGGGTTGTTTCCTTACTGTTGAGGCTCAAGTGTTCCTATGTGTTTTGAACGGTGGGCCTTGGTGGGATGTGACATCTGTCTGCTTCTCTCCTTAGGCGAAGGCTGCCTTTTCTTACTCCTTGACACCTGAGGCCTTGCTCAGGTGCTGGCCGCGTACAAGATGCTCTGGGTTCTGCTCCTGGCTGTGCTGGTTTCGCTGGGATGCCCTCACGTCGGTCTGCTGGTGTCTGGGCTGCCGTTGAGCATGGGGATGGTTCTCTGCTGCCTTGTTTCCTGGCCGGTGCCCGCCGGCCCCTGTGTACCAGCAGAGAGTGGGCCGGGGACACTTCGTGCAGGACCTCCCTGCCCCTGTGTGGCCTCACTCGGCAGCAGCACTCCTGCCATGGCCTCCTCCAGAGGGTGCCTCCGCCCCCCTGGGCACGGGTGAAGGTGACGGCTGGGGTCACGCTGCCACCGTGTCCCCTGCTGGCCAGGCCCCTCCACCCCCCTCTTGCGTGGCTGCACTTATACCCCCAGGAGGCTTGCTGAGCTTAGCAAATACGAATGCAGGGCACCCTGTGCAGTCTCAGACCGCGAGGGACGTTTAGGGTAGGGATGGCCTCTGCAGCGCTAGTGAGCTACTCTGGCTAAAGACAGGATTCCCTGTTTGTCTGATAAAGCTGATCTGGCGGCACTGTCCAACATCTGGGGACACTTGCGGTTGTGACTCAGGGCTGGGGGTGTAGGTGCTCCTGGCATTGAATGGGCTGGGACTTGGGGTGCTCTCAGTGCCCTGCTGTGCCCAGGATGGCCCCCCAGAGCGGCCCAGCCCCCACGTCAGCCCCTGAGCACAGGCTCGCCTTAGGTCGCCCCTTCTCCTGCTGACCTGGCCCCCGTTCCTCAGCTGTGGCAGGGCCAGCAGACGGTCTGACTTGGGGGCACAGGGGAGCAGGGGTGCTTTGCAGCTTTGTTGGTCCCAGAGGCTGCGTGACACACAGAACGTGGCCCTGCCCGCTGTGGCCTGCCTCATCGCCCTGACTGGGTCAGCTCCCTCCCCGGCCGGGACCTGCAGAGGTGCGTGCTCCCCCTTGACCTCACATCGTGCCCCCCCATGCTTGATCGGTCCCCATGCCAGCGTTTCGCGTCTCTGTCGGCTGCTTTTATGTACCTGCATGTGGCTGGGACTCCTGACGATGGGGAAAGGCTTATGGTGGAGGATGACCTTTTACCGCTTTCCTCTGACCCCCACAGACACCCCGAGCCCCGCCTTCCCAGGCAGCTTCTTCCTTTTTTTTTTTTTTTTAACTTTTTCTTTTGAAATAATTGTAGAATCACAGGAAGCAGAAAACGGAACAGGGAGGCCCCCAGTACCCCTCCCCCAGTCCCACACGCAGTGTCTTGCCTTCTGTAGTCTGGGGTGACAATCCGGTGGGGTGTGGGCCACCACAGAGCGCATGCAGGTTCCTCCCAGGCTCCAAGTGCTTGCGTGTGCGTGTACCTGTGCGCAGATGTCTGTGACTCCCGTGTGGGCCATGTCACCTCGATGAGGACAGCTGTTCCGTCACCACGGGGTCCCCTTCTCCCCGGGTGCAGCACACCCTCCCTTCTCAGCCCCAGCTCCTCACCCGGCCTCTCCTTCGCACCTCTCTGAGGGGTGGTCATCTCAGGAGGGTCGAACAGAGGGAGTGGGGTGGGATTGGGCTCACACACTCTGACGCCCTTTGGCTCTGTCCACCTCATCAGGGTGGAGCGATGGCTCCTGTTTACAGGGATGAGTGTGGACACAACAGGGTGTGCGTTATAGGCAGAGCTTCCAGAGGTGGGGCACCAAGCAAACCCCTGCAGCTCTTTCCTCTGAGGGTGACTGGTTCCTCCCGGGCAGCACTTAAGCCTGTCCTGTCTGGGGGAACCAGCTGGTGGGCTCTGGGGGAGGGGTCGGGGACACCAGCTGGTGGGCTCTGGGGGAGGGGTCGGGGACACCAGCTGGTGGGCTCTGGGGGAGGGGTCGGGGACACCAGCTGGTGGGCTCTGGGGGAGGGGTCGGGGACACCAGCTGGTGGGCTCTGGGGGAGGGGTCGGGGACACCAGCTGGTGGGCTCTGGGGGAGGGGTCGGGGACACCAGCTGGTGGGCTCTGGGGGAGGGGTCGGGGACACCAGCTGGTGGGCTCTGGGGGAGGGGTCGGGGACACCAGCTGGTGGGCTCTGGGGGAGGGGTCGGGGACACCAGCTGGTGGGCTCTGGGGGAGGGGTCGGGGACACCAGCTGGTGGGCTCTGGGGGAGGGGTCGGGGACACCAGCTGGTGGGCTCTGGGGGAGGGGTCGGGGACACCAGCTGGTGGGCTCTGGGGGAGGGGTCGGGGACACCAGCTGGTGGGCTCTGGGGGAGGGGTCGGGGACACCAGCTGGTGGGCTCTGGGGGAGGGGTCGGGGACACCAGCTGGTGGGCTCTGGGGGAGGGGTCGGGGACACCAGCTGGTGGGCTCTGGGGGAGGGGTCGGGGACACCAGCTGGTGGGCTCTGGGGGAGGGGTCGGGGACACCAGCTGGTGGGCTCTGGGGGAGGGGTCGGGGACACCAGCTGGTGGGCTCTGGGGGAGGGGTCGGGGACACCAGCTGGTGGGCTCTGGGGGAGGGGTCGGGGACACCAGCTGGTGGGCTCTGGGGGAGGGGTCGGGGACACCAGCTGGTGGGCTCTGGGGGAGGGGTCGGGGACACCAGCTGGTGGGCTCTGGGGGAGGGGTCGGGGACACCAGCTGGTGGGCTCTGGGGGAGGGGTCGGGGACACCAGCTGGTGGGCTCTGGGGGAGGGGTCGGGGACACCAGCTGGTGGGCTCTGGGGGAGGGGTCGGGGACACCAGCTGGTGGGCTCTGGGGGAGGGGTCGGGGACACCAGCTGGTGGGCTCTGGGGGAGGGCCTGGTGCACCAATTGATGGCCTTTCTCTGACACACTCCTGGACTGTCTCACTCACTTCCTGTCTCAGTTTCCTCTGGGCTGTGGGTCCTTGTTCAGTCGTCATCTACAACCAGGACCCCAGCTAGGTAGTGGTGTGGGTCCTGAACGTCTACACCAAGGTCACCTGCACTGGGCTCTTCTCTGGGCTCATCTGTCCATAAGCACTGCCGCTGTCCCACCTGGTTCCCGCACTGGTGACCAGGTTCCAGGGTCACTTCAGGGGGAGTGGCTGCCCAGAGTGTGGGTTAGGATGTTCATGGGCCCTGACTGGGTTCCCGGGCTCCCCTAGGGAAGTGGGCGGTGGGCATGGGCATCCCCTACTGCGCGATGTGGCTGCTGCCCTGCCAGCTCCCCCAGCCTCTGCCCCTGTTGAAAGCCGAGTGCCACCCCCGAGGACGTGTGGTTTCTGTGGAGCTGGGGGAGCCAGGGCCTCCGGGCCATCGGGCTGCTGCCGGTAGCTTTCCGCCTTTCTCCGTGAGGACGCCCAGCGCTGTGGTCCCGGCCCGCCGTCTACCTGCCGACCCATCGCGTCTCATCCACCCAGTCGTTTGCCCCTTGCTGTGCAGCAGCTCGGCCGCGCCCTGGTGCGGCGCGGCCCGCAGCGGACTCGGGGGCTCCAGCGCGCCGGCTGCGGGGAGAGCGGCGCGCAGCCGTCCCCACGTTCAGGAGCCCCCGTCTCTGCCCGCAGGCTCCCCGAGCACGACGAGGCACCCGCCTTCCTCCTGGAGTGCGACCGCGCGGCGCTGGGCGCGCTGCAGAGACACCTGGCGCTGTACAAGATCCGGCGGAAGGTCACGGTGGAGCCGCGCCCCGAGCTGCGCGTGTGGGCTGTGCTGCCCCGCACGCCGGCGGAGGCCGGCGGGG